ATTTTTAAGAGAGTCATTGCAGGAAGAATGTTTTGGACTGCTGATTTTCAGATTGTGGGTAGTTGGATTTGGAGACGGTTGATGAAGTTGAGGACTTTGGCTCGGCCTTATTTATCTTGTCAGGTAGCATCGGGAAGGAGATGTCTCTTCTGGCATGATAATTGGACAACGCTTGGTCCCTTAATTGACATTACAAGTTCTAATGGTCCTCGGGTTACTGGAATTTCATCTGCATCATCGGTTTTTCAGGCTCTTGAAACTGATTCTTGGTTGAGGTCTAGAGGAAGGCATCCTATTTTGGTTTTGCTTAGATCTTGCATTCCAACTACTCCTCTTTTCTCTACTGAAGATGATTTATATCTCTGAAAAAATTCTTTATTGGATACTCCAGGTGTGTTTTCATCCTCTAAGACTTGGCTCTCTTTACATCCGCCATCTCCTAGTGTTTCATGGTTCAGCTCAGTTTGGTTTAAGCAGCGGATTCCTAAGCATGCTTTTATGCTTTGGATAACAATGCGTGATAGGCTGACTACTCGTGATCGTTTAAGAGGATGGGGACTTGATATTCCACCTGATTGCCTTCTCTGCGCCTCAGCATCAGAATCAAGAGGGCATCTCTTTTTCAATTGCAGTTATTCAAATGAGGTCTGGACGGCCTTTTTTAACCATCCGGAACTTTCTCCTCCGGTGCTCTTTGAGGATATAGGTTCCTGGGTACAATCTTCAACTAGAAACAAAAAGCTCAAATCAATTGTGAAACTCATTTTTCATGCAGTGGTGTATTATATTTGGAAAGAGCGTAATTTCAGGCTCCACTCCTCACAGGTGAAGACGCAACAAGCTGTTGTCAAAGAGATTCAGCTTCTTCTTCGAGCTAAGCTTGCTGGTCTTGATAAAGACGGTGTTGGTCGGCTGATCCAACTATCTGCTATCTTGAATCCGTCAAATTCTGAGTCATATTTGTTAACATGGTTCTGGTACATTCAATTCTAAGGTTATTTCTTTTCCTTCCAGATTATCTTGATCAAATTGTTGTTTCATGAGTTGTTCTAAGCTATATTGATATGTATTTCTTTTTTTAAGTTTTCATTCCAGCTGGTTGTAATTTTAAATGTTGCCCATTTTGGGAAATT